TTTTTTTTTTTTTTTACAATCCTTATGATGTTTTTTGCTTTTTGTGTGTAACACACAACATCCCGGGGTATACCAAACTCGCGTGTAAAACCAAAATCACGTTGACAATCGATTATTCGGGCAAAAAGGGGAACAAAATGAAACGAACGAGGGTCGTCCTGGCGATGGACAAAATACATAACATTCCAGGCGACTCGAGAGACGCTCTCGTGCAGGTCGAGGTGTGTACATGTATGGGTGCAACATGTGTAAAGTGGACGCTTGGCGTTGTAGAGGACAGTATATATATATAGGGAATAGGTATGGCCCGAAGGGGGACTTTCCGAGCCATTACTCAAAGATGGCAGAGAGAGAGAGGAGGCGGGCAGCCTAATCTCGGCACATGAGACCTTAATGGGATTTTAAGGCGCTGCCGGCACCTGAGCCCCGCCTTCGCGCCTCCTGCAGCTCTCGACTTGCGTTTATCTTGCGTTGCTCTCTTTCCCGTCCGATCCGATGGATACTGGAAAATTCAACGCCCGAGAATCGAGTTTCTTCGATAATCTATTGATGGGAATTTCTTACGGGTTTTCGGGCACGGGTGTCTCGACTTTTTGGTAAAATGCCCATTTCAGAGGTGCAAGAATTATTTTTTATTACTTTAAGCAACGCGTGTATATTCAAAGGCAATCATGCGATGACTCACTTCACCTCGAATTCGTTCGATGGCTTCAACTGTGTTATTATTAAGCCTCGTGGTTTACAATTAGGCGAATTTCACCGAAAAGGGAAAATTTGTGAAAGTAGCGCTCCTAGGAAAATACAAATCCTTTGGGTTTCACTTTTAAAATACACATCATAAAGTAGCTTTTGTTTACAGCATCAAGAGATTGACTTTTTTTTTACAACGTGGTGATAAATAAACAGTTGTGGATTGTAAATTAACAGCTTTTCGTACTGTACGTTTTTATAAGCGAGTTCTGAATGGCAACAAAATCCCACATAAGATTACGAAAAAGTTATGGCATTAAAAAATTTTTAAAACATAAAATACCGTTTCGAATGATTCTGCTTTGAGAAATCACACCAAAGTATAGTCTATAAAACTTTCTGACTCGTCAAAACTAGCAGTGCAGCTTAATATATAAAATCAGAATTCAACCTCAAATGTGAAGTTGTAAACACAATTCTTGCTCCCATCAATTTTTTTCTCTCATACTTTCATGAAATGTACCATCGATAAACATGAATAATAATCACAATTGATTCACAAAATATTGTAATAACAATACTTTGGGTACTCTTGTGCCTATATACTCTATATGTAAACCTTGGAAAACAGCATTATTCCATACACTACACATTGACGGGCCATTTAAATTATTCACTTATGCGCCTAATGTTGTTGCTTTCAAACTAAAAACAAGATGTTTATTCTGAAATTGCAGTGCTGTGGTCGGCCGAGCCCACTTTGAAAAGCAGCCGCCCAGTAACCTGAGGAAGAGCAACTTCTTCCACTTCGTGATCGCCCTGTACGACCGGGCGGGCCAACCGATCGAGATCGAGAGAACGGCCTTTGTCGGATTCGTCGAAAAGGAGCACGTGAGTCAATAAATTATCCATCTGTGAACTTTGGACAACTCAAATGTACGGCAATTAGCAACAACAACAGCGACGCGCGTCTCGATGTTTGCCAAATGTGTGTAACTGCGGCAATCCAGTGCATGTATGTAAGCCAGGTCGCGTGTCCCTCTCTCGCTGCAGACTCGTCCCCCAACGTTGCATGTACACACATATATATGTATATATATATGTAATATACTGTATAATTCACGGCACATAAATATAGCGGACAGTTGCATCGCGCGTGGCCTCCCTATTAATTAGGGTCATGCACCACGGGCATACATCAGAGCCCCGACCGAGCCCCTTACCTCCGACACCCTGGACTAACCGCTGCTGTACGTGTATATAGCCGCAGAGGTATATGTATGTGTATACACATACAGATCTGCAGAGAGAGAGGGAAGGGTGAAAAGGGAGGTGGCGAGGGACGGACAGAGAGGCGAAAAGCGGCATTTACATATTTTCGCGTCATTCAATTATTTAAGGTGAAAGTTGGGGGTGTACGGATGTGGGGGGGGGTGGGGGTATATAGCTTTCCTCGCACTGGAAACGGGATATAACCACCGCATGCATACGTGAGTGGTGTACCTGCTCTTCTCGCTTATCACGGCGGTAAACTCATCCGCCGGATAAGCGCCGCGAAACGAACGTTTCAGTCTGCCTCGTTTCTCTCGTTTTTGCAGCTCTCCGTACCTATATAATGTACACGTGCACGACTCTCGGCTTGCGGCTTTGTTTAATCCAGCGTTTACATGCTCGCTACTCTCTCTTTCGTTCTTTTGCTTGCCACTGTCTCTTTTTTTTTTTTTTTTTTTTTTTTTTTTTTTTTTTTTTTTTTTTTTTTTTTTTTTTTTTTTCTTCCTTTTGGAGCTCAGTTATTCGGGATTACATTTAACTTTCTCGAGCCCGTGCTCATTCTCTCTCAGGTGCGGTTGTACCTTGCTTTGCTTAAAAAACGCTATCATATACGGTTCTTCGGTAGGTTATGCAAACTTTTTTCAGAAAATGTGTTTTTTTTTTTTTTTAATTCATTGATTAATAAATTGAAAGTCGATAATCATGCAGCTTTGTGAATACGCGTTGACCTATGCACTAATACGCTGCAAAAATTATATAGTCAAAAGTCAATGAAAGTAAATTTTTGTGTTTAATAAAATTTTTACACATACTTTTTGATATGTTGAATATATTCATATATTCAACGACTATTTAAATTTTAAATAAAATAATAATTTTTGAAGAACCTGTTACGTACAAAAAAAATTTTTTTTTCCTACAATTATATATTACGGGTTATTTACTATTAAAGAAAATTGTAAGGGTAAAATACGTAAAATCTATCAGTTCTCAAAATTTTCGAGTCAGTCCATCGATTTTCAAGAGTGACAGTTACATAGCATTAAAAAAAAGCTCTAAAAAAGGTAAAAAAAATGGCACAAAAGACCAAATCTCAAATATGGTTAGAAAAAAAAGTCCGATTTTTCGTAGAATCGTTCCAACACGTGTACACAGCATTAGCCGAAACCTCAAGCCCATATTATGGGGAGTCGCGTATACACAGGCACCATATCCCTACAGCCCCCTGCGGCTGCGTCTACTATGCTATACTCGGTATACGGTTGAAAATGCATTATCAGCTCCAACGGAGTCATATGGCATACATCCCTCCATACACCCCCTATTATATATAGCTCGCGCATCGCAGTGCACGCGTGCTCGCTCGCATCACGCACGACTCGTCAGGGATATATAATTATGCACGCGATGCGTAATGGCACAGAGCCAGCATAGGCATATACAACACGTAGAGTACGTAGGTATAGCTCGTCAAGGGGGCGCGTGTGTGTATACATCAAGAAATTAATAATTAGCGTTAGACAGAGTGGCTCGAGCCAACTACGTGCGTGGGTGTGCTCACAGGTATGTAAGTACGTCTTTTCTCTCTACCACCCCTACGGAGAGCACCCCTTATAGCTGCGACGACGCGACGCGGCTAATTAATCAAGGTGGAAGACGCGCGCGTGTACATAGTTGAAGCGGTTTTATTACGAAGACTGATCTTCCGTGATGGGCACAGTAGCGGCGAATCCGGTCAGGGATTACTCATCCACCGTTACATATACATAATCAAGTTGTCGCCGTTGTTGTTGTTGTTGTTGTTGCTGTACATTTATATGAAGAGAATCATCCAATGACAGGCAAGTTGCCATTTGTAAATTCACCAACCTCGTGACGGTTGCGTCTCTGTGTGTTTGCAGGAGTCGGCAGGACAAAAAACGAACAATGGGATAAAGTATCGGCTCATGCTGCTCTACGCGAATGGTGAGTACAGACCTAATTTACTCTTATCCTCAGATGGTATACGCTCAGTAAAAAAAAAAAAAAAAAAAAAAAAAAAAAAAAAAAAAAAAAAAAAAAAAAAAAAAAAGAGCTTGTTGAATTTTACAATACGGGAAGAAATAACCCTTCAAAAAGAGCTCATTTCAAAGCATATCTATTTCGAGAAGGGAGAGAGAAAAAAAAAGAAAAAAAGAGAGAGAAATGAAAAACAAACAAACTCGCGTGACCCGAAAAACTTCTCTCCTCGGCCGGGCCGCTCGAATCGATCGTTGCTCGCGTCTGCCGCAGGAATGTCGCAGCTGAAAAGCACGACGACGTTTCGCCCTAAAACCCAAAGCCGCGTCGAGGCGTCAAACGATGACGGGCCATCAACATTCCTCCGACGGCCCGGCCTAAAAACAACTCCCCCTCGCCTCTCGCCGTCGAGCTTTTTCTCCCCAGGTTAGCTGTATACGTATACACATGGGTGTACGTCCCGAGGTGACTTTTTCGAGCCAACTCCTCGCCAATTCTCAACAGAGACGTGTACTTTGCCGAGAATTTCACCGAGAAGATATTCCGCATAGCAGCCAGCATCTTATAGTGACCGTAGCACGTGGCCAGCTCACACATATGTACAATACATTTGCCCTGCAGGCCCTTTTTTTTTCCTTCGGGCCCTTCGCTCGCGACTTCTTGCGGACCTCGGGGGCCACGATGCCACCTGTCGTAATTTATTCCGCGTGACATTTCAGTTTCGCGCCATACATACGCCGCTGCAGTGCGGATTTTTCGCAAGCCTCGTATATATATATACGCTTCTTATTCCAGTGACGATGCTTATGCCCATTTATGTGTATATGCACGCCTCGGCGCGTTGATTTATCGCTTGGGCTTCTTGTCGCTGAATATTTTTATGATCCTTGCGATTATAACGTTCCGATCGCGGTGATATGTCAAACGATAGGGGCGAAATGATCCGTGGGGTAGGAAAAAAATAAGTAAAATTGCACCACGCGCCATTATTATTTTCCTTGCTCTCGTCCGCGGAAACAAGTTTTGCTAAGCTCATTTGTCATTTACGGCAATTAATTTATCGGACCGTGGATGAATATATGTGCGCTGGCCTGTATCGTTGGCTTTTTATCCGCTCTATCCACGAGACTCTCGTAAACCATTTAAGCGCTTAATGGGGGTACCTATGTACGCGCATCGAGTACAAGAACTAATTAACCAATACCGGGTGGATGAATTTCATTTTAAGTTGCTTCGGATGGCTTTCTGTTTTTTCCTCCCCCCTCCCCTTACGAGATCCGCGATACACGGGCAAACACGCGTAATTGCCTACGGAATACACATCGTCTATATATCGCTTGCCGGTATAAGAGAAGGGATAAAAAAAAAAAAAGAAAAATCCATAATTATAAATAATAAATAAGCCAGGTTTGTTCCTCTTCGACGAGATCGCCCGCCGCTCCATATTGGGGACCCCGAGTGGTTTTTGTCCTCCCTCTCTTTTTGTCACCGCGCGGTGTCCGACTCTTTGCCTTTGTGCGCCGCGCCCCGAAACTCGGCGCGGGCCAAACGAACGGGGAGATAGAGACGTTGTTTTTATTGATAAATCGTTTACTCGAAGCTCACCGCGATTTTCGTCCTTTCTCCCTTACCTCTTTATGTTTGCACTGCAATTGCTCGGCGAGTAAATAAACATGTACCCACGCGCTTCCCTTTATTCTCATACTTGACCAAATATACTTCGTCTTTTTAGAATATTTTCACGATTATCAGTCACATATACCCTTGAAACACCGAATGTCCCTTTTTTATATAGTTTTAAATATCATTAATTGGAACTTTTCGAGTATTGTGAAATTTTCCAACCACAAGCCGGGCGAGCAAATTGGGCCGCAAGAAAACCCTCGATCGTGCAAGTGGGTGTATATACATATATACACACTCGGTGCCCGCACGGCTGCTGTAAAATTTAATCTTCGTTGAGGGCAGACACCTCGCGGTCACGCGGACCGGCCCCCGCCGCAAAGGTAAACCGGGAGCCTCTTCCGCATCCACCGTCCCCTAGCCATAAGAGTTTACGTATGTATAAACGGACTTAGGGTCGGTTTTCCGAGGTAATTTGTGAGTGCTTAAGCGCCCCGGCATCATAATCCTGTGGGTACAGCGCGAGCCCTCTTACGTATACCCCACGTACTCCGGCCGAAACTCGTAAGGCGGAGTGTACTCCCGCGCAACTTCTCGGGCGCCTCTCCCAGGTGGTTAGAAGACTCTTGTACCAAACAACCGACTTTGTACACAGGTGTACGGAGCGTAATTTCGTAAACAAGTCTGGTTGGCAATTATCTCGTGAAAAAACTATACTCATCGAAGGATGAATTTCTCTACTCGAAATCGGACGTATATACATATTTTTACAAGTATAGGTACGTGGCTCGTAAATCGCGAAAGCCGGGCGCCGCATCGAAGGTGACGAGTCGGCTGTCGGGGCTCTGTAATTGCTCGAGCGGCACCTCTTCCGACGAATCCCCGTGACGGTTAGTCTCCGCGGTGGCGCAAAAAAAACGCTTGGTATATGTATACGCGCGGTGCGAACGGCATCGCAGATATTTTAATTGTCATCGAGAGAGGGAGAGAGCGCTTTGAGACGCGGTATGCGCGACGCGTGCGACAATTAGGTGATAAATTAACGCGCGCGTTTAATTTGAGGCTTTGATGCCGCGCGACGCGATTTCTCATCGGTGACGGTGAAAAAAAAAAAAAAACGGGATGGATATCGAAGGGAGAAGGAGAAGGATATGTCGAGGAAAAATGAGCTAAAGGAGGCGGCATGCGGTCGTTGGCTTTGGCGCTTTTTTAATGTATTCGGCTTTTTGCGGGACCCCCGTCTCTCTCTTCTCGGTTCGACGCTTTGAACTCGATCCGTTCGTTTCGGGACTTTGTGCATCTGTGGGTTCATGCTGTTTTGGGGCAATGTATCTCCTTACCTTCAAGATGCTAAGGACGAAAGATTTTCTTATAGCCATAGATCGAAGCGCGATTAGTCTTTTTTTTTTCTAACCAGCCAAGCGCTTCTTTGATTGTTTTTTGTTTCAAATCTATCATTTTTACACGGGGTTCGATAGAGACTTAGTGCTTAAACTTACGTCTTAACAGCTATCATCTATCAATATAACCAAGTATCCAAAAACCTAAATCTCAAGAATTTCTTTATTCAAGATTATCTCTGATGATGATGATTCCATATTTTACCGAACCTTGATGTTTTTTCTTGTTTTTCCAGGTGTAAGGGCGGAACAAGAAATCTTCGTTCGACTGATCGACTCTGTAACGAAACAGGTGAGCAACCATACTATTTTTAACATAAAAATGTTCCCTCACTGTTAATCTCACGCGTGCGTTGATGAAGCTTTTCTTTCTCGCCTGCATTATATAGTATATACCATCACACCCCCAACCACACGTATACACACGCCCAAAGGACCGTCGGCGTTATCGTTGCCGGTACAAGCGTTTAATTTTCCAGAGGGTTGATTCCGACTCCTACTCCGTGTATACAAAAGTGTATATACATGTATACATTAACAGCAGTGGCGTGGGCGCGCGCGCAGCCTATATACCCGCGTTATCTGCGCCACGTGGCGAATCTACCCTCTGTCACATCGTCCTGCACCCTCCCACCTCTGGTCCGAGTAAGCATTTACGTTGCTTTTCGTACAATTGTCGGAAAAACCAACAGCTCTCCCTTGACTTTTTGCTTCAAAGTTGGCTTTAAATGTTTTTTGGTATAAGAATATTGGCACCACCCGTTCCCACTATATATCCGAATTCACCTACGGTAGCATCATCATTTCTTCCCCCCCCCCCCAGCTCTGCTCCTCGCAACATCCCCGTTAATGCCGTGCTCTCGGGTGCGCGTACACACCCACACATACCCTTTATCTCTGCCGCGATTTCGTCGAAAGCACCGGCACGCGCCTGCAGAGAGAGAAAACGCGACAGTACTTCCAGGGGGAGATCCGACGATGATAGGCCGGCCCTGCGCGCACAAGGATCATAACCTTTGCACAACAGGCGGAGATTACGAGGCTGGATAAGAGACGAAGGGTCGGCCGGCGCGAGGTGGCTCAACTTTTCTTTTTTTTTTTCTTTCACGCGATCAGTCGGTGTTTGCACCTCGCAACTACGCCTTTGTTTTTTTCTTCAAGTAAAAAATGAACGCACGCCCGTTTGGCGAAGCGCAATCACTCAGCCGGTCGCTCGCGCGCAAGTAATCGAACGAAGCTGCTTGCGCGTCAACAGAACTGCTGCTGCAACTGTGTATATACACGTATATGTGTAGGCCCGGGGCGGCGGGAGAAAAAGGAGGCCGGTCGTTTTAGCGAGATTAAGTTATCTCGGGGATCGGTGTCCTCGCTGTTAGTTTTAGCTGATTAAATTACCGGGCTCGCGATCCATTTCTTGTATTAATCGACTCGGCGTTCCTTTCTTTCCTCCGGCTTCTTTTACTTACTCCTGCGAGTAGCCCGACGGACGACCTTTTTTTTTTTTTCCTTTTGCTCCGGTGCAGCGGCTGTGAGATGTGGTTACTCTCTAAAATGATCGTTTTCGTTGACCGTTTTTCGTGCGAAGTACGATAAATTTTTAACAGTTGCCTTGAAACGAATCAAAAACAATTGGTTATTTCATTGTGTCAAAGTACGTTATAAAGTAATACAGGGTTCAAATCAAGTTCATAAAAGTCCAAGGAAATTTCGTACGAAAATGAATGAAATAGTTGATTTTTGACGCCTTAAATGCAGTTACGCTAGAATAAATTCATGAGCAGCCTGAGTGTAAAAAGTCCAAATATTAAATAATGTGGTTTACTGGATAGCACAGAGTGTGAGAATTACATTCATTTGGTATGCACAAAAAATAGGCCTGCGCGACACGAGCGTACAACTTGTTTTGATAGCCCTAATAATTTTTTTTCTGAAAAATTTGTTGACCGAACATTGAAAGTTCCATTATTATTAAATTGAAAAACATAATTTAGTCCTGTGGCATCGCACGCAATTTCCAACTCAAAGGCATAAAACAGATTTTTCAATAAATAATACAAGTTAATACATATAATATGAGCTAATATAATACGCACTTACGTCCAGTAAACATACGCGAATGCATGGTAAGTTGAAAAATGTTAAACTTGAGAATCAATCGAAATGAAAAGATGATTAAGTAATATACGTACCACTTTGCTGCTCGATTTTTTTTAAACTATGAATTATTGAAACAAAAAGCTGTAACACAGCAGACGTGGATAATGTTTTTCTTTTTCAACTTCAGTTTGTCAAGTTATTAACCGGGCACCGATACTATTGTGGCTATATTATTTAGAGAAGTAGGTCGTCTCGAACCCCTCACTCCACGCAATCGGTTCCGACAGGGTTTCACGTTTTACCAACCGAGCCACATATAATCCTACCTCACGCGCATAAACATAATTACGTGTGCGCACATTCATAGATTTAATAATCCCGAACAACGGTATTTACGTCCTCTCCTTTCCTCGATTCCCAACCGCGTTAACATTCTACGCGCGCCCGATTTATTTTCAATTCAGACGACTACGCTCATAAACCGCGATGATATTTTCTCCCTCGCGCCCAAACAATCATATCACCATTCCCGTGTATACCAACGAGCAATCGGCCCAAAGCGATCTCTCACGCACCGGGAAGTACAAGTAGAGGTGTACACACGCGCTTAGGTGAACGGGAAGATAAAATCCTCACCTCTTCAGGGGGGGGGGGGGAAAGAGAATTGGGCCCGGCGATAGGGATCTTTGAGGAATAAAGTGGCAGGCCGCGAGGAAAAATTTTACGAGCATGCAAATATCGGCCGGGACGCCGATTTACCCGATTCGGGGAACAAATAGCACGCGCGCCGGCTCCTCTCTCCCCCTGGTCGTTATAAATCCAGGATAATTGGCCGGCTTGCAGGTGAGCTTGGCGGCGGCGAAGGGATTTTCTTCAATATTTTCAGCGCGCTGTTACGCGCGGCCTTTTCACCGACTGTGCGGGGAGATATAACGTTAGTTTATTGGCTCGGCTGGACTGCGGCTGCTATATTTATATTCCAAGGTGGGTACCGAGAGATAGCGCTTTACGGGAATACCCGGTAGCCGATGCCTGGAGTTTCGAATAATTGTGTTTATTACAGACTCTACTTGCGCCGCGTTTCTTTTTTTCACCCCGAAAGTGCTTTTTTTTTTTTTTTTTCTCTTTACGACATTTTCTAATCGTCATATGTTCGCACTTTAGCGTTGCAAGATTCGTGTTTAATAGCACGTCTTAAAGTACTTTGGCGAGCTCGTTTTTTTCCCCCAGCTTTGGATTATTTTATTCATACGAGTCGACAAAGTTTTCATCTCTTTTGAATCTTGTGAAAACTTTGGGTGTATCTATAACGTGAAACTTTCAAGCCGAAACGATAACGTCGAGCTTTTAAAACAGAGTCATAGTACTTGTACCTAAAGCAGGAAAAAAAAAAAGTCAAGCTCGACGGTACTCAGACACCGGCACCTTATATCTAAAAAAAACAACGCCCTCCCAACGCGAGGCACCAAACAGAGCATAAATCATCCTCTGTCCTGCAGATAAAGATCGCGCAGTAGCGTGTATTTACACGTATACCCCTTTCCACTCTTCGGTATCGAGGAAAATCGACGATAATCGATACGACGATCGTCTCGCTCCCTTTGACGGAAATACAAAGGCAACACAAGTACCTATATGATCGTGGGACGCGAGCGCATATGCAAAAGGATATATATATATACATGCGTGTATGTAATGCCACCGAGCTCTCGCACGCCCCCCCCCCCCTTAATACTAAAATATGAGTATTTAACCGTAGATTAAGGAAATAATAAGCCCGAGATAAGTTAATCCCCCTCCGACGGTCAGATAAGAGACAGCGCGTGGGGTAGGGCAGCCGCCCCATCGGTAAAAACTAGAAAGGGAAAGGGAGCGCGGGCGCGTGTGTGCTTTTTTCGGGGTGTATAGCCGTGCCGCGGGAGAAGGAAAGTACGGATTCCCATGGGAGTCGGGCGGCGAATCGATTCGGGATGGAAATCATTACGGGCAGATTTGAATGACTATCTTTGAATTTATCTTCCTGCCGGTGGGCTCGAGAACCCCACGGGCTTTACTTTCCCTCCTCTCCCCTATACACTTTTCTCGCTCTCCTACGACCAAATGACAAGGCAGACCTACTTTGCAATGCTTTGCTCGTTACAAATGAAGTGGAAAACAAGTAGCGATCGTTGATTATCGATTCCTCAAAAACGTCACCGCAGAGTATCGCTTTTGCCAACGCAAAGCTCGCAACGGCGAGTGTACACGGGAGGCAGCGCAGGAGAGGGAGAGATGATTTAGTGGAGAGACGCGCCGATAATTGAAACCAGTTATGAGCGTCGTGGTCTGTCGTCGGTCATCGTCTCCCTCCTCCGCCGGCTCCGTCTGTGCACCGAACGAAAAAGCACCCGGCGGTAAAAAGAGGGGCCGAGAAGAAGAAGAAGAAGCCGACCGAGGGCTATACGCAACCGGATTCAATCCTCGACGCACGCGCCGGCCGGCACAGTTGCCGTTTCCACGAAGATTCGCGTCTGCAGTGTACACACGCGTGTGGAAAAAACGCATTCCCAGCCGCGCTATTTTACTTCGCGTGGAAACTGCTTCTTTTTTTTTTTTTTCTTTCTTTTGCCGGTCGTCTCCGACTCCAAAGGCGTGCCCCCCCCCCCTGATGTAAGCTCCGTCGCGCGTGTGGAGAAACTGTACACGAGCTTTCGAGCTTACGTCGCGTAGATCACACGTGTTTTTTTTTTTTTTTTTTTTTTTTTTTCCTTCCAGCGGGCAATTTTCGTGATTAAATGCATATGTGTGTGTGTGTACGCGTGGAGACTTTTTTTTTTAATCGATCGCGAGTAATTGCGCGGGAATCCCGCAGAGCTGCGGTGATGAAATGAAAAATGGCCCATATACAGCACGAGGGGGAATGGCTTTTTCTCCGATTTCGAGAAAAGCCGCTTTGTTAATTAGGTGGAGATTAATTACCCGCGACAACCGGTGCCGTGCGTTATACGTCCATCGGCAAACCGAAAAGCCTTTCGAAACCGTACGTCCCTCGTAGGATCGGAGGAAAAGCATATCTAAATGGCACGAAAGGGAGAAAAAAAAATAATAATAAATAAAGAGGCAGTGGAGGCGCGAGCGGATCGTTATTAGTCATCGGGAAGAAATTCCCGTGGGAATTGATCATCCCGAGGCATCATCGCGCCGCTGATGGGAGCCACGAGGCCGTGTAGCCCGCGGCGGTGGGCGAGAAGAAGGCCCCCACGGGAACCCTGGAGGACGCGCGCGTATAGCGTCCCCAGGACGACGGTCTTGCGTTCGTCTCTCGAACCCGCGTGTTTGTGTTTGCAGGCGATGCGCGTGTGTTATAACACAGCACTGGCTCCAGGGGGGGTGGGGATGGCTCACGGGGAAAAGAAGAGGGGGAGGGTGGTAAAATGGCCCCGCGAGTAGGTATAGCGCGCCGTGGGAGGACGAGCCTCCCGCGGGCTTATGCCGTCGGCTCGTAATTATCTTTGGGATTCCACCGCCGTATACCAATACTCGTGTACTCTTCTTCTCTGGGGCGTGACCTTGAACCAGAAAGTTGCGACGACCCCTCGCGTTCGTTGGCCCCCGACTTTCGAGACCCCAAAGATACTACGTCGCTGGGGAATTTGTATGTCTTAGCCGAGCACAACGAGTTTGCTTCCCAACAACGCTCCGATCTACTGTGGCTCTTTATACTTCGTTTCGGAGAATCGAGAGGACATTATCAAAGAGGGTGGCGACACCACGATTTAGTGCAAGGTTGAATTGTCGAGTCCATTTTCCGATTCGCAGCTAATAAAGAGAACAGAGGATTTTTCTCACATTATTTCGTGGAGTTTTCGATACTTTTTTGGAAATACAATGGAACAGGGCAATGTTCAATCATCATGAAAATTTCAAGGTGTATTGTTGCGCAGAAACTAATATATTCCATGCTGCGATCTAATTAATTGTACAATGTAATCACAATCGAGTTTGCCGCGGAGAGCCTTCATAAACTGCTCCGGATAATATCTTTGGATATCTTTATGGGATTTTTCCTGTAGTAACAATCACCCGTGAAAATACTACCGCAGTTTTAAACTTCTCCCCTATAACCATTCGATCTACGAGGTTGGACGCTACATTGAGAAAAATTGTTGATGTACCTAAGAACTTTTTAAAACCATTTTTCAATAAACGCGTGTTTAAAGTGGAATGAATGAAAAATACGTCCCTCCGTCGTTGACTGGTTAATCAAACACTTGCATCGTTTACGAGGTGTAGTAGTTGGGTGTTGTTTGAACAATGCCTCGACACCGGCACCGCACCTTCGTTTATGTGTACATGATGTTGGCGCGACACCTACGCAACACGAGGTCGTCCGATGCATATTAGTCAAGCGTGCAAGCGACCGCTGATTATTACCTTCGCGCCCGCGGTCTGCCGTGTAATTTTCAGGCGACGCACGACATCGAAAATTTTGCCATCCCTCGTCGTGTACATATTATACAGGTATTCGCAGCCCCTCGTATATATAATGTATTCTCATTCCCCTCTCTCGGCGGATAATTCACGGGTAAACGAGGACGCGCTAAGTAATTGATCTGCAAACGCGGTAATTGAGATGGAAGGGAAGAAAAACTACACACCCTCATTTTTTCCCCGAATTTTCGCTCACTTTACTGTACTTGATTTTGATACCAAGGTTTTTTTTTTTTTTGTTTTTTTTTTTAGCCATTTGGCGTATCAGTGGAGGGCGATTAATTTTATCGAGAGCAAGCGTTCGTTACACGATACAATTGACCTCGACATCGTCCAACTACGGGCTAGCCGAGCACACGTATTACGTTTCCCTGCCCTGCCCCTGACCGAAAACTTTTCGTAAATACTCGCGTCAATTATTGTGCCCACGTAGCCATTGCATGACTTTTTATCATCAACCAACACCACAGAGTTGGAGGAGACCTCGCAAGATAGCCATGAATGTAGGACACGGGGTGGACGAGCTGTTTGGGAATGAGTGCGCTTGAAATTAATGTGATTATATCCAGACCCATAGTTGACGAAGATTATATTATTACGATTGAATGGTACCAAGCGCCACAACAACAACAGAACGAAGCCAACCAGCAACTTGGTCCCTCGAGGGTGCAAATACCATAATGTGCCCGTACAAAAGGTGGACCACCAAAAACCAAAAGCCCCTCGATATACTTGCAGGACAAATGATGACGGCCCCCGGATTTCCTCGAGTCTCCTTTCGCGGGTTTCCTCGCGCCTCGACCAGATCAAAGAAGAGCTCTTCTATACGTGCATACTCCCCCACCCCCGTAAGTACAGGAGCCACAGACAGCCGGGCTTTGTTATTCCAACGGGCTTACGAGCCGACGACCCCTTGCGCGCGCTCCTCGGCCCACCGCACCGGCCCGTCCATAAATACATACACGAGAGTGCGGTGTTTGTCATTAAATAAAAATCAATCAGGAGGCTGGTAAGGCTGGCTTACCGGATTTGCCGGCGCCGCCCATGGGCTTTGGACATATTATATTGTATAGTGCGGGAGAGAGCCCAAGACGACGCGAAGGGCTCGCCGCCACTGGCCGACTGCACGGCACTAAATTACCTTGCGGATTTTCGGTTCTACCCCCCTTCCCCCCCCTATAACGCTACTATTTCTCTGTTGATCTGTTTGGTAGAATTTTGTGTGTTTACGCGAATTTGCTGGTGCCACGGTAGGTGACGGGTTTTTCGAGTGAATGACGAATCCTCGTTTGTTCTGTTGCAGGCGATCATGTACGAGGGCCAGGACAAGAATCCAGAGATGTGCCGCGTCCTGCTGACACACGAAGTCATGTGCAGGTGAGCTTTTCTATTTTGTCGCTACACCCAGCATTTTGCTATCTGTTTTTTTTTTTTTTTTTTTTTTTAAATTATATAAAAATAAATGGGCACAATGGGGAGGGAGAACCCAATGGGGGTTATACTGACTCGGGAGTCTCGAGGGACCCGAAATTGGAGTTTATTTTGGTTTTGTTTCTCTTAAGGACGTTCGGTAGAGATAGAACCCTGTGAATCTCTTTGAAATTTTAACCAGACGTTCTTATTGTTGTTACAATGAAGCTGTTAAAATTTCAAGAGGTTCGTCTGTTTCGTTTCCGAGATATTGAATTTCAAAGTTTGATCATTTTAACACAGTCGCTTATGCGGAAACTTATAAAAACTCAGTTTTATAAAAATTGGCGTGATGAATGTCTCCAATTTTTTTACATGTCACAGATAGTGTTATTAACTATATGTACACAAAACATGTGCCCTTCCTCTATTACGGATACAGTACAGTGAGAGGGGAAAAAATTGTCACAGCCATTAACAAATGGTATAAAAATGTATGGTTAAATTATTAAAGTAGTATATATGTGTTTTGTTGACTTTCAGCCGATGCTGCGACAAAAAGAGCTGCGGCAACAGGAACGAGACGCCCAGCGACCCAGTCATCATCGATCGGTAAGTCAAATTTATAAATAATACGCATGAAAAAAAAAAAAGAAAACAAGCGATTACGCGTCATCGCTCGAGCCGAGTACAATACTGCAAGGCGTCCTAATCTAAGGCGAAAATTCAGAGGCTCCCCCAGAGACCAGTCGCTATACAGCATCATTCTCTCAGCACTGCAGACGTGTACGTATATACATTTAGGCTCCCAGGATATGCAGAATCGGCTCATAGTGCGCGCATACCGTACTTATATGTAAGATAGACCCGAGTCACCTGTGAGCGAGGCGGCACACGTGTGTCGGGGGGGGGGGGGGGGGGCAAGACAGACCGGCCGGCGTATCTGAACGAGCAGGAGATAGGGACGAGCTGTCCCGCGGGAGCCTCGGCGAGAGATAGCCCTCAAGAGCGGCAAGGACATCTTGGGCTCCCACCCCCTCTTGGCGCTCAATTTGCCAAGTTTCCCGAACACCCGCCGCTCTTATTGTACAATCGCGCGCCGATACGGCGAAGAAGCTCGCGCGACGATTAATTTTTATCCCCCCAGTACGGCCCTTTTCTTACCCCTTTTCGAGCTGCAACGACTTTGGCCACTCGAGTGATATTAATTCCGGAGAAAGTGGAGCTGTACGTGTATACAAATAGACGGGTGTTTACCAAGCTCGTCTAGAAAAAAAAAAAAAAAAAAAAAAAAACCTAAAAGGGCACTCCGCCTGTATTAGCCCGATGACGTAGCGAGCGTGGAATTAGCGCACGCGTCCCGGACTATGTTTGGCATGCACGCCCCCACAGCGCCGAAACGATTGTCCGGGCGATACGGGAAAATTAATTTCGAAAATGTCTTTTGGGGCTCCGCCGTGACGTGAGCGCGGTTGTTGCCCTATATATACACGCCGTCGCTCGTAAATGCAGCCTCGTCGGTCGCGTGTCACGAGGAACGCCCTTGCGGCCTAATTTTCGGCGGGAATCTTCTGTCGTGCCCCACGGCTCTGGGCGTCGAGGGCAAAACACCATCTTTGCTTGCTCTTTATGAAATGTACACCATCTATTGGTTCTCATTACGGATGACTATTAAAGCGACAGATGTCCAAGAGTATGCATAATACGTACAATGTACGGTTCTCGAGCACACAAAACCTAGAAACAAAAATCGTCTCTAGCCGATTGTCTTCGGCGCCTACACGCCCTTCTCTAGTATATATAATACGTATACATACTCGGATGGCTAATAAATGTTTGGTCCCGCGACAAAAAGGTGTAGATATATTGTGCACGCGCTAGCGCGAAAAAAAGGTCGCGCGCACAATGGCACTGGGAGCTATCAATGCCACTTTGATTGAGGCGCTCCTCGTCGATTGTGACGTGCTCGCTCGACTGTAAGATCAGCCCCCCCCCGAACAATATGCCGCGCGTGCGACCGTGTGGTTATATATTTCAACAACTAAATACCTAAGGGACGACAATGTTGTCGTATAGTAGTACATACGTATATTACATGCGGTATAGCGATACGGCGCTTGCGGGGTGGAGGCCAGTTTGCGCGGCTGGTTGCTTTTTTTTTAAGTCTAGATCATTGATATACGTATACCGTAAGCCGCTTAAGACATAGGTATAAAAAAAAAAAATAAATAAATAAAGTACGATTTCATTGCCATATGCGTTTTTGTTAACAATTGTCATCTTGTGGTTCAGTGCTGATTGTATACCAAGTAAAATCTCAGTGGTTAATCACGAAAAGGAAAATAGTACATCTATACGTACACCAGTCGCGAAGGAGTCACCCGTAAACGTATGGAGCTCATGAATCTACTCGAGGAAATTCTATGAAAGGAAAGGAGAGACCGCGCGAGGACAATTAACATACATAATCGAAACGGTCGGAGGAGTAGGATAGGCCGTGTATATATAGTGATGGTCGAGCGACTACGACAGACAAGAGAGAGAGAGAGAGAGAAAGAATTACCCCGAGGGTATAGCTGTTACATACTATACACGGTACAGAAACTGGGGGAGGTATAATTATTGCGGAAATCCGCGACGAGTTGGCCGGCAGCGTATGGACAGCCGAGAAAAATCACCCGACTTTGGCGATCCTTTAATTTCGGCGTCGGGGATAAAGTATCGCGCTCGAGGTCCCGCACGTTTTCACCCTCCGCTCGGGCTTTTTCTCATTTCTCGTTTTTTCTATCGCCTCCTCTGTCCTCTTTTACGGGTTTCACGGCCGATACGTTGGTAAAGAGAGAGAAGTTTTCATCCGCTCTGTGATTCATCGAAGGGTTGAAGTCACAGTAAAATTGCTTACTTTTCCCTGCACGTATACAAATATAATTAATTACGTATAAGCTCATCTCAGCGACTCATTGCTCTCGAAAAGAGCATACAGGGATAGGTATGAAAAAAAAAAAAAAAAAAAAAAAAAAAAAAAAAAAAAGAAACTCGGTTCACCCTCGATCGCAACGTCAATTCACACGTCCTAGCAGCCTCGTACTTTGTCGAAGGTACATTACATATACAGTCCGGCTCTCACAATCGATCGTTATACGCCTTAATTGATTGCTGAGCAACAGCAGTACGCATAGCAGAGGGAGGCATCTCCTGGCCTGACGTCACAATAACCCACGTATTGACAATCAGGCGCGCTTGTGGCGTTGATGCATGCAAATGTCTCGCCGACCGTCCCTTCCTAATGCGGTGTACACGCGTGTGTATGTGTCAATGCGTGTCGTGTATACACTGTACATGACAACGGAAGACACTTCTCAAGATTGCCGGCCAAATCGCTCAATGGAAGGCTTTTATTATTTTGAGGTTTGGGTGTATATACATGATTGCAGTATTGTTTTGAAAAAACCAGTAATTGCCTATCACCGCCACTCCGAGTGATCTCAAGCTCTGGGAAAAAAAAGCCACATCGGGCCTAAAATCTGACAGATATGTAGTGCCTGCAGTGTATACTTCCGACGCGCCTATTAGAGAAATCAAAACACACTCGAGCCTCTCGAGAGCATATGGGCCCCCGTTCGAGCTGCACATCGTCAGGGGTGTCGGGCTCTCTCTCTCTGCCTCCCCTCTCGACATAAAATAAATGACAAAACCCTCCCCCCTCTAGCACTACACACGATGGATTCACTGGTGCGCAAAGGACTTCACTCGCGAGCGCCAACTCGAGCGAGAAATGGCCCTTATACCGACACAATACATAATGCCCTCGTGTTTGTCCAGCTAATTATTTTCGCTTTTCATGCGCTGGATTATCGAGTCCGCGTCTACACGTACATGGGATCCACGAATTTTTATGTTTGATTTTAATTTTCGCAAAAACCAGATGATACGCCTCGTTATTTTTTAATCAGTGGTATAACTACGACGGCTCGTGTATTCCCACCGTGAAATTGTCTTTTTTTTTGTTTATTGTTACCGAAGTAAAGCGAATGTATTATTAAAATACACGCAACGTTTTGGCGAATTAAATTTCATCGAGGTGAAGGAAAAAAAGACAAGTATAGGTACCTATACCTTCATGCCCACGGTTACGATTGATTAATAATTTATAATGAGGGACTTGCCCGCGGGACTGAAAAACAAATTTGAAAGTTAACAATGAGAGGGGGGGGGGGTGTAGAGAAAAAAATTAATCGAGAGCGCGACTCATAAATCGATGCGACAACCGCGTTCATTACCGATTCGTGTACATTTTGCCGGGGTTGTTTTTTTCCTCCCCCCCCCCCTTTTATTCTCGATTACATCGATCAGAACGAGCGAAATGGCATTAAACCCTCCCGACTCCTAATGGCCCCTACTCTCACATAAATCAATTTACCGAGTCTTGGCACGAGCGACGCCCCCGCTACTTTTGGGGTAAAAAAACAACAAAGCCAACACAAGAAAAACGCATCATAATACGATTCGCCGATGACGTCCTTTCTCGCGCAAGTCCGGCAATGTTCCTCCGCTTTCGGAGCAAAACACACACGCCGGCATATTGTATTGTATCGGGGATCGATATTTCCCCCTCGTAAATTCGGCCAATTAGGAGCCGGACCAAAGTCCCTTTCCGCGCCGAAATATTGAATAACAGCGCAAAAGGAGAAGAGAGAGAGAGTGGAAAGGAGTAGTGGGGGGGGGGGGCAAGAATGATACCGAGTATACGCTCCTCGGAATGTATATTGGACATTATCGATACCCCAGATCCGAGCTTATACATATGTATATACACGATGCTAATGGAAAACTTATGCCAGAAAAGAAGAAAGGGAACGACGGACACGCGTGCCCCGCTACGCTTGCCAAGCTGTACGTATGTACGTAGTGATACATAATGCATCTTGGACGGCGCGTGCTTTTTTATTAATTGTGTATACGCTTTCATGAATAACCGAGAGCCATCGCGGTGCGTGGGGTCATCGCGAACTTCGAGCCGAGAGTATCTCGGGGTATCGCGGGGTGATTCTCGGCATCGGGCGAAGCGATAACCGTAAGCGCGAACGACAGACGCTGGTACCCGAGACACGGCACTCCTGGGCGTCCTTTGAACCGCGGGTTGGATAAGTGCAGTTGTTGCCGGCGTACATGCCGTCGTTAAACCTCGTCCCTATTGGAGTTTGAGAACGCCGCGTGTGCGATTTCTTTTTTTTTTTTTTCCTTTTTTAATAGCTCACATCGCATGTGTTATTCCCACCTTGCGACGAGACGAGGGAAAAAGAGTCGTCTCGAACCGTCCTTTCTCTTATCTCCCGGCGCGCGAGAGAGGGCTGAACCCAAGGCTGAAATAGAATGAAAAGGAGAGGAAAAAAAGGGGGGAGGGGTGGGGTGACACGAGCCGATCGGCTTAATGCATATTGATGCGCGCCGAGCTAAGTGAGTGAAAAATCGCCATCGATCCACCCACACGTACACACCCAACTCTGCCATCGAATGTCTCCTCTCTATACAACGACTGGCTGATCTTCCCTCTTTTCTTTTTCGCTGTCTTTTCCCTCTATTCACCGGCGACGCGAAACGAAGCCAGTTCT